TCTCTGAGTTATTTTTTTGTTTGCAATCTGTTATCACTTGCAACTGTCCTTTATTTTATTTTCATAATTGAAAATCACTTCTTAAAATCCTTTTTAATTGTCCAAATTAAGGAAAATAGTGAGAATAGTGCTTGGAGTCTCTAATCCTCGTGAGAATATTATCTTATTCACTACTTTATTACTTTTGCGATCAATATAATTGTCGTGAGTGCAACAATATCAAATGAACTCCGTGGTGTGATTCGTCCACCTCCTTGTTGGTTTAATGCGAATCCTTTAACATAAGATGGAGTTGACGAGCTTCTAAAAATTGAATTATATTCCATGCAAGGATCCACCTTAGCAAAGACGTACTCAACTCTACTGGAGAAATATACTGAGCTCTTATCAGAAATGTTTGGCATTCGCGCTGAAAGGGATAAAGCTTTAAAGGATATACAAGCGTTGGTTGATTCTTCTCGTAGTTTGGAGAATGATTTGAGGCAGGCCAAGGCAGATCAAAAGAAGGAGACTGCTTTGGAGGAATTACAGTCCGATTATAAAAGATTACATGCTGCTTATGACTTCTCCCAATCTGAGCTGAGAAAATGGCTGAAAGTGCGTTTAACGATGCTATTGATTAGGTGAAGTTCTTTAACCCAGATCGTTCCAATCAAACTGAAAAAGATGCATCGTTTTGGGTTTATAGACAATGGAGAAATCACTCGTCCCTCACCAGCCATTATCTCGTTGTGGCCCAAGTTAATGAAATTTTAAAGGCATCTGAGACTGACCCTCATTTTGATTGAAGAGTCGGGATGCCGGTGTTATTTTGTAATCTTTTATTTTGGGCCCCTTTTAATATTGTACTGAACATTGTTGGGATTATTCCAGTTTTTAATTTTATTGGCATGCTTATTTTATCCATTTCTTTTCATTTTGCATATGGACGTCGAATAGTTAGCCCAGCTAATAATACCATGGGTTGCATTTGCTCTTATGTCGGCATTCATACGTATGAATCTGGTTTCACGATCTTAATTTTTTATTGGTTTTGACTTTATTTTTAGCCTTTTATGTCATGGTAGTTTTTTATGCCAACCCAAATTTTGTAGCCCTACTTTAAATGCCTTGACTTTTATTGTTTGACTTTCTCTTTATTTGAGAGTCATCTGATTAATGATCTGGTCAATGTCTAGTTTATTAATGCGGGCTCCGCCTTTCTCTTTAACCCGGTTTTGTGTACCGCGATTTTATACTATTTAACTCGACTTTTTGCTGGAGTTTTGATTTTCTTAGCATCATGATGACTTGATCATAGTCATTTCATTCTTCCTTTTTAATTTAAGCTTGGTTTCATTTATAGTAGCTTATATATATCGACTTGATATACATCATATCAGATCACTAAAGTAAACTTTAGTTCTTCCTGAACCCAACTTTAAGCTTGAGTTATGCAATGTGCTTTACTTCAACCCATCTTCGTACTTAGGTTAGCACACTGCTAGATTTTGGCTTAAAATGTCGTGATTCTTTTTGATTTTTTCGAGAAGCATTTGCAGTGAATAATTCCTCTTTATTTGGTTAAGCAAAAAGCTTTACATTATTTCGTCATTGTAATTGGCTTTAAATTAACTCAATATAAGGCGAAAAGCTCAAAATATAAAAAAAGGGCTCAATCTTCAAATGGGACTCAACTTCTAATTAGTGTATTGATTTAATTTGTCTGTTTTGCAAGTTCTTTTGATGTTTTCAGCGTTTCTAAGATGTAAGCTCTTTTATCAAGTTTTTCTTTTATATGATAAAGACCTTCTCAATTTGCAGCCAATTTGCAATCTCTTTTATTTTTCTTTCAATGTTTGCTTTTCGAAGTACCAAATCATCTTTTTCAAACAATCTTGGTATAAATTTTCTGTTGTATTTTGTCGCGGTAAGTTATTTTATGGCGACATCTCGGTCATGTGCCATGACCTTTGCTTCATCTTTCATAGCCCAAGTAAATTTTTCTCTCTCTACCAAATGCCCCCTAACATTAACATCTCTCATACAAGTATTGCCATCTCTATGAAGCATTGTTAATAAACCCAGAATGGGTTAGGTAGGTTGACTCAAAAACTGGTGAATCGATCATATAACTGGTTCGGATGAAGTAGCGAATCTGACATGTATTGGACTCAGTGCGACCTGGCCGATTTTGGTAAAAATTGATTAAAAAAATTCCAAAAAAAATTATAATTGACATATTTGAGCGATATGTTGCTTATTGACTTACATAAGTTATGTACCTATAATAATAATATCATCTCAGTTATGCACTATGCAGAGAATTTTGATTTGATTAATAGTTAGAGATGTCGTTTACTGAACCTGAAGCACTAGTGTTGCGAAATCGACAAGTATACCGTTCGTTTCAAGTAATAAAGTGATGAGGAGTATCGTTCCCACGATGATTAATTCACCAAGTACTAGTTTAACTATTCCCCTTAAGTTGGAAGAGAAAATTTGGTTGAGTAATTGATTTTGGAATTTCAAAATCGAATTTAAAAATAATTAAATTTAAAACAGAAAATTAATAACAATAAATTTTGAACGCAAGCAAGAAAAGATCAAGAATGCGAGAAAATATTGATGAAAAATTTATAAAAAGTATGTAGCCAGGATGCACTTCACCTCTGATCCTCCCTTATATTCCTATATTGTATTTTATAATTGATTAATTCGTTTGTTCAGACAATTCATTGTTTCCCTATAAAATAGTTGAACCCTAATGTCTTAGTGATTTCAACCCTTTAACCCAATCAGAATTCTAATGTCTTAGTAATCCCTCTTGAATTAAGCATTAAGCAAATGAATTATGAGTCTGCAATTTATGTAAGCTTATGTCTAGATCATACACAAAGAAGAAGAAGAAGAAGAAGAAGAAGAAGAAGAATCAATGGTCTTCGTTCTTCAACTCCGTCGGAATCCTGATCTCCAGCGTGCAGCCAAAGATTATTTTTCTCTGAGGTCTGAGTCTCTATTTATAGAGTTTATACCTTGCTTAGAAATCTTGATCGAACCTTCATTGTGTATCTTAGTCCAGTCTTCCTTTGATTCACTCTGAGATGGAATAAAGATTTTTCCGTATCTCCCGCGTTACTAGCGTGAGTTTCACGCTAATAGCGTGAGAGTTTTATTCAGCATACTGAAAGTTCACGCAACTAGCGTGGTTCCCACGTTGTGAGCGTGTGTTGCAAGAAAGTCTGGCGCAACTAGCGTGAGTTTCACGCTATGAGCGTGGATGTCTTTGGATGAAATTTAATTTTGGCGCTACTAGCGTGCGTGGGACTTCTGTATGAAAAAATTCTTCTTGCGCTACTAGCGCGGTTTCACGCTAATAGCGTGGGACTTCAGCCTGGTACTTACAAATGAGTTTCTTTTTGTCCTGTTTCCCTACGAAATCAACAAAAAATCAGTAACGAGATATCTGATTGAGATTTATCAAATTAATAACAATTCTAGCCCTTATTATTCAAGATTGATCAATATTTTTTCTCTCTTTGACTTAGATTTGTACATATGCCGGAAGCATATCAACTAATATCACAAATATTATATGTTTATTTGATCATTTATTAGATAATATCGTGTAATTTTTTGTATTAAAATATTTAAAATATATATTATTTTTAAACTATTTAAATATATTTATAATTTTTTAATAAAAATTATAAATTTATATATAAACAACAAATTATATAATTTTAAATTAATGATCCATTGATTGAATTAGTAATCCAATTACTCGATACCTTGATCGAGTCATTGATTTAGCTTTAATAACAATATTCTGAAGTCTAGCGTTCCTATTTGACTCTTGGACAGAGAGCTGAGTGTTCTAGTCATATCCGTCCTTGCCACAGTACAAATGAAAAGCCTTCAAAATTTTGAATGCTTCACTTAACATCTGTCTGCATACTCAGAACCAGCAGACATTAAATGGACAGTGACATTCTTCAACCAGATCCAATTAACCCAATGGATTGAAGTTGCAGGTGGATCAGATCATAACATTTATAATTGACAGTAGTAGCTGGATAGATCGTATGCCTTACTAATTCGTTATTTTAAAAAATGACCGATAGAGTATACATAACATTCTTTTCAATAGTATAATCTTTTTGCCATTCACAAGCCAAAATCACAACATTTTTTACCCTTTGTTTTTGTTTTTTTCTCTGTCCCCTATGCATTTAATTTTTCAACCCGTTTAATTTTCACCATTTTAACCTACCGTGCATGCAATAATTGAACAAATAATGAACAAGGAGACCAAGAAAAGTCGACGCCAAAAAAAATCAAAATGAAATGTTGTGGGGTCCACCACAGATTTCTATAGACTAACACGACACAACTTGGCGTACGATAAGCACAGATTTCTATAAAGTAACACTCATCATGCTTTGTTGAATAAGATAAACATAAACCCATTACCCAAAAAATTAAATAAAAACCCACCACAGTATTAAAGTATAATTGATGTATAAAAAAACCACATTGTATAAACGAATCTGGTCGTGCCGCCCACGTGTCAGTACAGAAGTACCACTTTATTTGGTAATAATATATGACTTTCTTCATTTGGATAGCAATAGCGGACTTTGCTCTTGTGGGGTCCACACATGTCAAGTAGCCACGGGCATAGCCCTTTATTTATTTATTTTCTGAGTAAAGTATCTTTTAATTTCTAACAAAAAAAAATACGGTTCTTATTTGTATCTTTTATAAAAAAATATCTATATTAATTTTTTTATTTCAGAGATTAAATTGAATATTCATTAAATTTCTGAAAGATTATATTTTTAAAAAACTGAAATTATAAAAAAACCAAAATGGATATATTTTTATAAGGGACATTTTTGTTAACTACCAAAAATGACTTTACTCTTTATTGTTTTTGTCATACCACAGCCATTTATTTGTCTATCTATAAATAAATGCTCGCTACAACATCAAAAAACACACGTTCAGATACCATTCAGAAAAAAATGAACACCCTTCGTCTCGCAGTGACAGCTCTATGCTGCATAGTGGTTGTGCTTGGAGGGTTACCCTTCTCCTCAGATGCACAACTAGATCCCTCGTTTTACAGGGATACTTGTCCTAAGGTTCATTCACTTGTTCGTGAAGTCGTAAGAGATGTTTCTAAAAAAGATCCCCGTATGCTTGCAAGTCTCGTCAGGCTTCACTTTCATGACTGTTTTGTTCAAGTACGTATATGGTTTTGTTCACAACCATTGCACTCCATAAACCCCATTATGACCTCCTTTTTCGTTTCTTCGAAGGATATGTTATTTTGAACTCTTAGTTGTTCATTTTCCACTTAAAGTTTTAAAGCACTATCTTTTTCTTTTTTTATTAGATGATTAAAACTTGTGACGTTCATAATGAGTCACTTTTTTAGTCAATTAAATGCCACTAATGGTCCTCCTCCTTATCTTTTATCAGACTAAAAGTAAAGTAGTTTGGAATGTAGAAATTTTCTATTGAGAACTAATAAAATGTTAAAGAATAGAAACTGAGTCTAAACTTTCGTTGTTGAGAGTGAAAAAGAAATAAGTTGATTTTTTTGTTCATGCTTTGTGACAGGGCTGTGACGGATCAATTTTGTTGAACAACACTGCTACGATAGTGAGCGAGCAACAAGCATTGCCAAATAACAACTCAATAAGAGGTTTGGATGTTGTGAACCAGATTAAGACATCGGTGGAAAGTGCTTGTCCTGGCGTAGTTTCTTGTGCTGATATTCTTGCCCTTGCAGCTCAGATATCTTCTATTCTGGTATGTCCCATCCTAATATAACATAGCTTTCTCGTTGAGCGGTCCTGATTGGAATTTGTTAGCCATTCTTAAGATTTTTTCTTAATTACTTATCAATCTTAGAATAATGCAAGTATATATTAACAGGCTGGTGGTCCTAATTGGAAAGTTCCTCTGGGAAGAAGGGATAGTTTAACAGCAAACCGAGACCTTGCTAATCAAAACCTTCCGGGTCCTAACTTCAACCTATCTGCACTTAAATCTGCCTTTGCTGTTCAAGGCCTTGACACTAATGATCTAGTTACACTTTCAGGTATGAAATTTATATCCCATTTGTTGCCATAATAATATGATAATAATAAATTTTTTTTTTTTTTTTTTTTTTTCTTATAAATAAATGTTAGAAAAAATAGATTTTTACGAGGGCTTTTACAATAAAAAAAGTTTTGTTTTTATAAAAAAAAAGTTAAAAATTTAAAACTTCTTGGAAGAGTTTTTCTTTAAGTTGTATTAATTTTTTTTTTTTTTGAAATCAACTGTTTTTAAGTAATTTTAAACTAAAATTTTTATATAAATATTATATCAAAATATAATAGAAACTATAAAAAAAGTTAGAACCCAATAACTTAAATTTTTGAGTTGATTTGGTTATTTATGTATCAAATAATTTAATTTAATTTTTTTTTACTTAAAACTAACTTTTAACTTTAAAAAAATACCAAATAGGCTCAAACAAATGATGGTTATATCAGTGTAAAAATAAAAAAATTTATATAAATATTTTTAATTATTGATTTATTTACATTTAAGGGTTATATATCTAGATAGATTGGTTACTAGGATTGCGAAGTGTAACTACTCTGATATGTAATTTATAATTGTTTCAATTTCAGGTGCTCATACATTTGGCAGAGCTCATTGCTTTTTATTCTCTGACCGATTGTACAACTTCAGCGGTACCGGCAAACCTGATCCAACTCTTGACACAACTTACTTACAACAATTGCGCAAAATATGCCCCCAAGGTGCAACAAATCTCGCCAATTTCGACCCAACAACACCTGATACATTCGACAAGAACTACTACTCCAATCTTCAGGGTCAAAAGGGCTTGCTTCAGAGTGACCAAGAACTATTCTCAACAAAAGGTGCAGATACCATTAGCATTGTCAACAAGTTCGGTAGTAGCCAAGATGCTTTCTTTGATAGCTTTAAGGCTTCAATGATAAAGATGGGTAACATTGCTGTGCTAACGGGAACAAAAGGAGAAATCCGAAAACAATGCAATTTTGTTAACAAAAAATCTGCAGAACTTGATATAGCCAGTGTGGCCTCCTCCAAAGAATCATCGGAGCAGGGTATGGTTAGTTCATTCTAAATGAATTAGGATTACTACTGCGCCACTAGAAATGTTGTGAATGAAGGCCATTAATAAAGAAGCTATAGGCACATTCATGCCATGTGCCCCCAGGCTTGTTATTAGGTGCTGTGTTTGTGTGAGATCTTCTTTCTTGTAATCTGAATCATGTGGTGTTCATAATCAATTTCTCTCTTTCTGTCTCTCTGGCTTCCTCTGTTTGTTTCCTTCCTCTTGATTCGAAATGGTAGACAGGGCTAAACGTAATAAATCATTTATATATTGTTTGCAAAAAAGTTATAAAATGGTAAGTCAATAAAAAAAGAACAGGAAAACTTAAAGAAAAAATATTTTAATTATAATATATACATATAGGGTACCCAAGCAGAAGAGTTTTTTTTTGTGAGGAGAGAGGAAAAAAAAGTTTTTAAAATTATAATTATATTTTATCAGTAAAATATAAGTTAATTAGTTGGTGCAAAACATTTTTTATCCCGTGAAAGGAGAAGTATATTTTGTATACATATATACATATAATAGACAAAATTAATGATAATTATTACTCGCTGAAATAAAAATTAAAAGTTGAATTAAACTTATATATGTAAACAATATTAGTAATTGCATAAATATAAGTTGGAAATTAAAGTAAATATATCAGTTAACTTCGAATGTTTTTTTTTTTTTGGGAAAATGTTAACTTCGAATGTTTTAACTTCGTCACCTGGTTCCTTGTAATAAAATAATAAATTTATCATATAAAATGTCATAAATATATTTAATAAATAGTATATAAAATTATTAATAAAATATTAAAACTAACTCTAAAGTATTAAAATATTTTATCTTTACGCTGCAATTACCCCCTCCCCAGGTTTCGAATAGATGATTTGACTTGTTGACAAACTGCTTATTGGGCCGCGAATTTCTAACATTAGCACCCATAGTATTCGGCTTTCATATGTGTCTTTTGTACACTCCCAGCCCGGAGTTAGGAAGAGTTAGGGAGGACGGTTGCCCTCTCTTAATTTTATATTATTTATTTGGCACTAAATCAGGTTTACCGTTCCTAAAATTGGTATTGCAACTCTTTATCATAATTTCTAAGACTTTACTATATTAAACTGGAGATCTCAAGATTTTCAATGACATATTATATATCCCAATTGGATTTATATAACTTGGGATACGTTTGTTGTAAATCAACTGCCGCAAACTGAATTTCCAAGAACACAGAAACGGCTTAAATTTAAAACCGGGACCAATCCACTAATGTGAAAATTCCAAAACTTTCCAAAAATAAATATCTTTGAGTTATCTTTACATACGTTCAAACCTCACTCAATTTGAAACTTTCTAGCTCAAGTTATGACCATTTTACTACAACTGTTCCTACCTAATGAATATGACAATACCACTGTCATAACTTCATGACAAATTTAAGCTATACAAACATTAAAATTGGATTTCTAATTCTTCATAAAGGTTTTAACTTAGAGTCTTATCTTTTCAAAACAGTTGAGAGTGGGCCAAACCGATATTTGTTACTCCAGATATGGCCGAATTTTTGAAAAAGGTTCAAAATTCACAACAACACTGCCGCAAGAACTTTGGGAACAATTTACATCCCATTAACCACCAAATCAGCTCTCAACCCCTTCATGAAAGTTGTAGATATACTTCTAAGATTTTCAAAACGCAAAATTATATTCAAATAAAATGTTTACAACTCACGATATGGACAAAATACAAACAATGTTCAATCAGAAAATTTAGTGTTACAATTTTGTTTTCCCTTCTTTTAACAAAAATGAAGAACTTCGTTTTTTTTTTTTGCAAAAAATGTTGTACAATCATCTCCCAAGATCATTTCAACACTTATTCAATGTTTCCTCATATCATAAACATATAAACCACTTCAAGACTCAACCTCTAAACCATGTTATTTATCAAAGTTATCAAATGCGGATTGCGGCATGTCACAACCAACTCCAAAAAATGCTATAGCGAGTTGCGGTTGCGCAAATAACGGAATAGATATATAATAGAAATAATGACCAAAAGAATTTTCTTTTAAAGGCAGAGATAGCAGGAGTGAGAGAAAGAGACGTAGATAGACTAAAAAACTCTTAAAAATTTTCTGTTACACATTTAAATTTTGGGACAAAATTGACATTTTTCCTTATAACAACAATATGGCCGCGGTTTAGCCGCAAATGCAACAGCAATTTCCGCTATTGCGTTCCGACCGTCGTGACGCGATTTTTTGCTGCGAAGCACTGCAACGCCCATACGACGCAGCTCACGGCACTATTGCGGCACAATTAACTACTATGCTATTTATGATGAAAATCTAAAGAAAGTTCATTTCTTTCTTACCAAGAAGCTTCACCCAAGCAAGAAGAAAGTCTCCAAGCTTCCAACAATGTCAAGACTCCTCCTTTAAGCCTCTGGCCATAAATCTCAAACTTCCAAAATGGTATTTTTCTCTCTAAAACTCATATTTTAGGTGGTTTCCATGGTGAGGTGATGAAAGGTGAGATATTGGTGAGTGTTTTTGCTCAATGTTTCAAGAGAAAAAGTGAAACTATGGAGGGTGAAATTGAGAGACTATGGTGGCTGCCCTAGGGTTAGAGAAGTGAAGAAAGAAGAATAAATAAGAAGCTACATTTTTGTCTTTAGGTTATTTGATTTAACTCGGGCTCCAAGTAAGAATGTCACATCATTAACTCTCATTAATTCACTTATTTCCATCCTCATCATTAATTTTTTTATCTAAGATAATTTTGAACTATTAAAATATTATTGAATAATTATTATTAATTAAACACTAGATTTACAGTAATTTTGCTCACATCATCTTTTACCACGACATAACAGTATTTTCACTTTTCCAATAAAAGTGACTTAATTTTAAATAATTATAATTTTCTACTAATATTAACATAAATATTTTGTAGTTATTTTAACTCCATAAAATTTATAGAATAATACTCACTAATTATCTTTAAGTTTCGAATACTTTTTGTCCACTAAATTTTTACCGCGAAACACTCATTATTTACCTTTTTATCAAAAAGGTGATTTAATTCAACTAATTAGAATTCTCGTCTAATAATTCTCATTTAATTATTATTTAATTTATAAATCTCCATTTAACAGTGCAGGTTCTTACACTTACACATTGCCATGATTTAGGTAGCTCATGGTGATTAAAAGGTGGAGCTATTTAGTTAGCATGAATATGAAAATCATCGTAATTATGTAAGGTGTGGTTTTAATTTGTTGCAAACGATTTGTTGACCAATTAAATATTGATTAATTCATAAAATAGAATAATTAGTGCCATGATTGGGGGAGATCAATCAAATTAATTACATAATGTCCCTGATTAATTTATGGGAATAAATTCATTATCAATCATGATTGATTTTGTAATCATTTAAGAGTGAATGATTATATATATTGTAACCACTCATATTTGATCAAACAATCAAGAGTGAATGATTCATTTATATAGCTCTTGAATTTTAGTAGATATCAATCATGAGAAAGTTATTATTTTTTTGGTAATTGTGAGAAAGTTAATTTTACCTCTGAGTGAAAGCAATTCCTGTCGTATATTATATGCTTTAAAAATTGTTTTAATTGAGAAAAAAATCTGTATAGTATTACAATGTTTATAATTTAATAAACAAAAAGTTGAATAAATTCAAATAAAAAGTAGCCAGTGTTTTCATATTTTTCTTTGTTGGTTATCACTTATGAGTGTTTTAATTAGTTACAAAATATTTATTATATTTTCTTAATTTATATTTAAAATTTTGTTATATATAATCGCTAACTAAATTCTTCACCATGTTATGAAAGTAAAAAAATACAAAAATAACTATGATAAAACATACTATTATTTGTGTAAAATTTATTATACTTACTTTTCATGTTTTTTTTCTTTTATAACATGAAACGGAACACGTGAAAAGTAATTGTTAGGGTACAAAAAATTAAACAAATACGAATGAAAAGTTGTTAGGGTATTCATATTCTTTTTTTCTTGCTTATGACTTATGAGTGTTGTTCTAATTAGTTACAAAATATTTATTACATTTATTTTCGTAATGTATATTTAAAATTTTATTATATTCAACATTAAACAAACATGTTATACAAGAAAAAAAATACAAAAATAGTTTACCAAAATAAATATGGCTTTAATGTCGTTTTGGGTTGAAAAATTAAAAAATTATAATAAAAAAGACTATTATAATCCTGAAATAAATTATAATTACAAAAATACCTTGATTTTCGCCTCAAAACAACGTCGTTTTGAGCTCACTGTAGATAAGTTATCTACATTGACCGTAGAAAAAGTGAACCCAATAAATATATACAAAAATACAAAAATAAATGCGATAAAAAGACACTAGTATTTGTATAAAGTTTATTAATTTTTTTCTTTTCTTTTATAACATAAAATGGAATTCATGCATGAAAGCAGCCAACTCCATCGTACGCAATAAACAAATCAATAATTAACGCAACAACTCCCGGAGAATAATATGCGAACTTTCTAAAGCCCAATGATGTTCTTTATTTGATTCTTCAATATTCACGTTCTTTGATAATATATGAATTTCATAGAGACTTGGTTTAAGTGGAAACCAGCAATATTGGACTTAGCTTTTATGTGGTTCACACATGACAGTAGCCGCGGCCATTGCAATTTGTCTCTTTATAAATGCAGGCTCTCGATCTATCTTCCCAATCTCGTAACAACAACATATTACAAACACACGTTCTAATATCAGTCACAAAAAAATGAGTTCGCTTCGTCTCACAGTGACAATTTTGTGCTGCATAGTGGTTGTGTTTGGAGGGTTACCCTTCTCCTCAGATGCAAAACTTGATCCCTCGTTTTATAAATATACTTGTCCTACGGTGCAGTCAACTGTACTTGAAGTTATAACGAACGTTTCTAAAAAAGATCCTCGTATTCTTGCAAGTCTCATCAGGCTTCACTTTCATGACTGTTTTGTACAAGTATGTATATATGGTTTTGTTCACATGCATTGCACTCCATGTAAATATCGTTATAACCTCCTTTTTATTTCTTCTATGGATATATTATTTTGAACTCTAGGTGTCCATTTTCCATTTAAAATTTATGGAGTTCATAGAGGTGTACATTTTTAGTCAATTAAATGCCACTGCTCCTCTTCCTTTATCTTTTATCAAATTAAAGTAGTTTGGAATATTTTCGAAATATTCTATTGATTGTGTTATCCATGATTGTGACAGGGCTGTGATGCATCAATACTGTTGAACGACACCACTACGATTGTGAGCGAACAAGGTGCCGCGCCAAATAACAACTCAATAAGAGGTTTGGATGTTGTCAACCAGATCAAGACAGCGGTGGAAAAAAACTGTTCTGGCATTGTTTCTTGTGCTGATATTCTTGCCCTTGCTGCTGAAATATCTGTCGTTCTGGTACGTCCCATCTTATATATATATATATATATATATATATATATATATATATATATATATATAAGAGGGAGGATATTTTGATTACCAAAAATTTTCACTACCACCTTACTACCTATCTAATCACCTTTGGATTAACATTTTCTCTCTCTTCAATTTTTTTTTAACATTCTCTCTCTTTGATCCAATAGTGATTTGATAGGTAGTAGAGTAGTAGTGGATACTTTTGATAATCAAAATATCTCTCTCATATGTAACATAGCATTCTCATTCAGCCGTTATAAATGAAAATTCAAGAGTTGACTTCTAGATAAAATGATAAAATATCTATTTTACCTAATAGTTGCAATCAATTACATTGATATATTAATTTAAGGTGGCTTCTGGGTTTCTCTTTTTAGTTATAGCTAAATCAAAAATCATTCAAGAAAAATATTATTAAGTTCCTACAAAAGTTGAAAAAAAAAACATAAAAGTAAAAATAAAAATAAATAAATAGAATAGTAATAGTATATATATATATATATTTAAATAAAAGTAAAAAAGAAAGGAAAAAGAAGAAGAGGAGGAAATGAAGGAAAAAAGGACTAAAAAGAGACCATCGGAAACATAACAACTGCTAGGAACTGCTCTTTTGGCTCTTTTGTCTCTTTTTAACATGATCATATCAGATATTAAATCTCAGTAATTCTTTCAAGGTCATAGTTACCATGTTTAAGAATTGTCTCTTAAATTATATCCATCTCAGAATAATATAAGTATATATATTGACAGGCTGGCGGTCCTAACTGGAAAGTTCCATTGGGAAGAAGGGATAGTTTAACAGCAAACCGAACCCTTGCAAATCAAAACATTCCAGTTTTTAACTTCACACTAACTCAACTTAAATCCGCCTTTGCTGTTCAAGGCCTCAACACTACTGATCTAGTTGCACTCTCAGGTACGAAATGATTACTGGTGACACCATATTTCAATCTAAATTCACCATCTCAACTTGGTTAAACTTTTTAAAAATTATTTCTCTAATAAAAAAAGACAGCAAATGAAGGAGGTTTATACATGATTTAGAAATGCTTCAATTTCAGGTGCTCATACATTTGGCAGTGCTCACTGCTCCTCATTTGTTAACCGATTATACAATTTCAGCAAGGGTAAACCTGATCCAACTCTTAACACAACTTACTTGGAAGCATTGCGCAAAATATGCCCCCAGAGTGGAAATGGGACTAACATCACAAATTTGGACCCAACCACTCCTAATAAATTCGACAAGAACTACTTCTCCAATCTTAAGGTTCATAAGGGCCTTCTTCAGAGTGACCAAGAGCTGTTCTCAACATCAGGTGCAGATACCATTAGCATTGTCAACAAGTTCAGTAATAACCAAAATGCTTTCTTTGATAGCTTTAAGGCTTCAATGCTAAAGATGGGTAATATTGGTGTGCTAACGGGGACAAAAGGAGAAATTCGAAAACAATGCAATTTTGTTAACAAAAAATCTGCAGAACTTGATAGAGTCAGTGTGGCCTCCGTAGAATCATCTTTAGAAATTGTGATGACAGCACTAGAAATGCTGTGATTGGAGGCCATTGATAAAGAAGCTAGCTATGGGATGCCATGTGCCCGCGTCTAGTTATTACGCGCTTTTGTTTGTGTGAGATCTTCTTTCTTTTACAATTTGAATAAATGAGGATAACTACTACATTGGAAATGCTGTGATTGGAGACCATTAATTAGTAAAGAAAGCTTTATGGACACATTCATTCCATGTGCCCTCGGCTAGTTATTGTGTGATGTGTTTTTGTGAGATCTTCTTTATTGTATTCTGAATCATGTGGTGTTCAGAATCAATCATTTATATATTGTTTGCAAAAAATTCATGAACCGGTAAGTTAATAAAAAAATAAATAAAAAGAGCTGGAAAAGATTAAATAAAAAAATTTCAATTATAAAGAAACCATAGTGTGAATTTATGATTAACTCGGTTAGTGTTTCATTAACTATATAACACTTGAGTATAGTGCTCATGCATTTCATTAGGTACAAAAAGTATATGTTTCCATATAGCTAGTTTTTTTTTTTAAGTTAATCCAACCCGAATTATCTCTTTGTGGTGAGTTGATTCTCCCGTTAATCCCATAAGATTCAACTTTTTGAATCGACTATGAGACAAATCCGGAGTACGAAGCGGGTCAATGATGAAAATATTTAAATAAATCATTTCCAAAAATAATATGTGGGAATCGAACCGAGACTCTTTCCTTTTCACTTACCCAACTTTTTTGCTACCATCATTTGATAGCTAGCCTTGTAATTATGGATGTGTTTACACAGTTTGTCTTTTTCTTTGTTTCATTAAAAAAAAAATAAACATTGCTTATTTTATCGCTTAATCCTCTTAAATGGTGATTCCTCGGAACTAGGAGAAAACTTTTGGTGCCACACTAATAGGTAGATTCATATTAAAAGAAAAAAAAAATTGGTACTTAAAAAGAATTATACAAAAAATCATACTAAAAGGGGAAATTGGTCATGTTGTAGGATGAGAAATTGGTGCTTCAACCACCTTATAACTAAGTACTCTCGGGAGTATATAGTTATAATATTAAAGTTGTTGTTTTTTTTTTCACTTCAGCTGACAGGTTCTGAAAAATAACTGAGGGAAAAAAAATTATTATCAAACAATGCAGGACAAGTTTCTTATCAAACAATATTATTCTTTTATTTACATATATATATATATATATATATATATATATATATATGGCTTATCGTTTCTCAAGTTGTCGGAGATAATTTTATCTCCGGCTACTAAATCATAACCGTACAAAGGTTGATAAATGGTGCTAAAGAAAAGAGAGAAAAAGGGAATCATAACCATTCAAAAGTGAATCAATTAATATAATGAAATAAATAAATAAAATGACATAATTTAGGTGCAACTTGAGAAATATTTTTCCCATATATATATATATATATATATATATATATATATATATATATTTGTGTTGTTGTAGGAATGAGGAATAGTTTTCCTACGGACAGGAGATTATGGTGGGGTCTCTTAAAAAAATAGAAAAAAATAGGGGGATTTTTTATGTATCGGTCAAAAATATTGTTCTTCTTCTTGCAACGTTGTAGTTGCATTCCCTATAGACTTTTAGTGCCCAGTTGCTCAGATCTCACTCCATTAAGCTAAAATCAAACACACAATTTTAACCTACAAGGTGTGGCTCAGTTGGTTTGGTGCTGAGTCCAAGGGTTTCAGGCTGTGAGTCTAAAGGGCTTGAGTTCGACTCCTGGTAAATACACTTTGTGGGTAGCGGAGAACCCCTTGCCCTCTCAATCCGCGAAAGGGGATTAGTCCCATCCTATGTGGGGTGGGGATACCCTTGGGTTTACTAGAAAAAAAAAACATATAAGTTTAAATTCAAGCTTTTGAATGTCAAAAATGTTTGGAAAAAATTTGTACGCAAAATAAGTTGGGAAATGTGAGTGTTATGCTAAATGACACATCTTGTGTCAAGCTATAAACACAAAAAGCTATGATCCAAATCTTTACAATTTTTTTCCAGTGGAATCAACATTTTTTGTGTTTATGGCATGACACAAGATTATTATGAAATATGACATTCACATTTTCCAAGCATCGGTCACTGGAGTTCAGTGAGTGTGAGCACATGTTTGTGAGACTTTCACCTGTCACCGGTGTTGGTCGGGCCCTCAAAGTGAGGAAGCTTAGCTCTAGATTTATTAGGTCATACCAGATACTTGGTAGGGTAGGATCTGTTGCCTACCGGCTTGCCTTGCCTCCGAACTTGGCCAACATCCACAACGAGTTTCACGTGTCTCAGCTTCGGAGGTATATAGCAGACCCTTCGCACGTGGTGCAACTGGATGATGTGGAGTTCGGGAGAACTTAATGACTCTCGTCGGACCACTCAAGATTCTTGATCGTGGTGAGAAGAAGCTACGAAGCAAAGTCATTCCCATGGTCAAAGTGCAATGGGAAGGAAGAACTCCAGAGGAGTGTACTTGGGAGTGGGAGGACGAGCTTCTCCGACAATACCCCAAGTTTTGAGACAGGTACGTCTCAGATTTTGCGGACAAAATCCTTAAAAGGTGGGGTGAATGTAAGAACCCGCACCGTTAAATTCAGAATTTAAGTAATTTAATTATGAGTTCAGAGATAAATTCTATAATTGACCTTGAATAATTATGAGAGAGCTTAAATAATTAATATAAGGGCTTAATAACGCTGAAAGTCGCTTTTCTCACGAAAAATGCAAATACCGGTTCTGCTTCACGATATAAGTGCATACCAATGAAGTATCTCAGAAAATTATAATAAGTGTATGAATATTTCTAGAATAATATTTAGGTCAAGTGTGCCAAGTTTGAAGTCGAAATAATGAGAACTGACGTCAGAACTGATACCGGCTATGTAAAAGTGTGTACCAGCAAAGTGCTGCGAAAATTATAATAAAAATATGAAAAATCCTACAAAAATGGCTAGGTTCATAATCTAAAGTTTTAGATCAAAACGATTAGCGGAACTATTAATGCTAATACAATGAGATTAAACTTAATAAGACTATATATATATATGTGTGTGTGTGTGTGAGTGTGGGCACAAGTTTCTAGGTCATAAACTTGAACATTCTTACGTTAAATTCTGAAGCCCCTCCTTGCTCTCCACCTTGCCACCCTCTTCTCTTCATGAAACTCAACCAAAAACCCACTTTTCTCTTTGATTCTTCTTCCTAAATGTTGTGAGCACTTGAGAATGTGCATTGTGAGGGAGAAAGACACCTTCTTGCTGAGTAGGAGCTTCTGGTTGGGGAGATTTGGGGTTGTCCATCTTTGTGAGGGTGTGTGAGAGTATTTTCTTGGAATTTGATGGTGCAAGAAGCCATTTTGTAAAGCAAAGAACCATTCTTGTCAGCCATTTCCGTGGCCTTGTGAAGTCAGAACTTTGGGACTGACTTGAGAGCTCCAAGAGCACCTTTGGTTTCTGTTTTGAGCCTTAGGGGTATGTTCCTCACCTTTGATCATGTATTTCCATGTTAAAGATCAAGTCTTGGCATGAAAAATGATAGGATTAAGTAGCTAACATTATCACTGGCCTAAATGGGTCTAAAGATGCATGCTTTAACGTTTAAATGTGTTAAAAATGGAACATTGAAGAGATATCTTCACGAAATGCAGAAACTGCATTCTGTCACGAAATATCCGGATATGATATCCGGATATGGGGTTGGTGATATCCGGATATGAATATCTAGATATGAATATCCGGATATGGCCCGGTGAAATATTCGAATATTCTGGGAATTTCGAAGTTGTGCATTGTTCTGCCCAAACAGAAGTGTAGATTGGGTTTCTGGACCCATGATGGGTTAATGTGAACCTCTGTAATAAGTTATCAGAATCACTTAGATTAAGGACTTATGATTTTGGGAGAAGCCTAAAGAGCACTAAACGACAAAGGAAATGTTGTCATAATGAAATGAACCTTAAGAGTATAACTACTGATGATGTTTCTGGTCTAAACAGATTGTAATTGTGCTATTTATGGACCTTGGGCTATTGTGGACTCTTGACTTGGGATTGATTGCTTAAGAGGTAAGCTTTCGTGTCCTCGGTTTTTCCCATTGCTGGTTCCACCATACCTCATGGAGGAATGGTTTATATGCATGATGTGTTTTCATGATTTTAATTGATGATTAATGAAATGCTATTGAGCTGTTTAATTGAGTGCAAGTACCATATGATATGTATGTGGTGTACCACCTAGACGGTAAGCCTGAGTATGTGGAGACATACAAGATGGTGAATATGTGGGTGAGGTACAAGCGGTGTTCCTTGTACTGTAGGTTGTAGACGTATGTAATCCCTACATTCTTATTCTCTGGCCAGTAGGATTATTACACACATGACATGGATATATGCTGCATTGCACAGATTTTGAAAATGATATTGTTATACTGTTTTAGAACTTATATTGCACATGTAAGTGAGCTTGGGGTGGAGAGATCCTTGATGACCCCTTGTCTTACTGAGATTTCTTTTTAGAGATCTTACCCCATGTTGGGGCACATTTCAGGTTTAGATACTTCGGGGGTTAAGACCTCGGGCGGCAGAAGGCCGGAGTTGAGTTGATATATGCATGTCTACCTGTTATCGCTTTTGGATTTTATGCATGCCTTGTTATTTAAGATATGGCTATTTGACTTGAGACATTGTTGGCTTTGTTGCCTTATTTGGTGAACATGGGGGTTGTTCATGCCACATTGATGTTGTTTATGCTTTTAGTCTTGAGTTGTATAATGTATCAAGATATTGTCTGGTCTACGTGTTGTAGTTATGTGATTAGATACACATTTATATCATGAGGTTATTCAGTAGTTCTTTATTGCAATTTACATACAGAAAATATTTTAATAAAAAAATAAGTAATCAACTTGGTTAATAATGATGACGTCATAATTGAAAAGAAAAAGTTAACTTCCGCATTTATTTAGCTGTGCCATTACTCTATGTATGTTTAATACGCCGGATGCACACGAGGTGTTACAA